TGTACAAACAAAATAAATATATTGAAAAATATAAAAACAATAAAAAATTATACTTCAGATGTTAATTTAGTATCAAAAGCGTAAAATATTTGAGTAGCCCGAGAAATAGCCGAAGATTGCAGCGCCACAGCACTAGCGAAAATTTAAATTTGCCGAATGGAATGCTTTCGGATAAACGACGCTCTACTGTAAAGTTTTTTGATAAAAAAACTAATCTATTTATTCATATATAAGTAGTGTTTTTCACAACAAATTAGATAATAGAAACATCCGACGACGGCGTCATTCGAGAGCTTCCGACGGACTGACGACAGTGACGACGCAACATTGTCACGGGGGAGGGGTGCGGTGAAAAGCGAGTACAAGTGGCTGAGAGATAGAATCAGTGCCTAATCCTCGTTAATCGATTCAGAACGTTTTTTAAATGTTTTTTTTTTTTGATAAAATAAATAATATTTGCATATGGAACTAAAGAGCCGCAGCTTCACATCCAAAGAGCCGCATGTGGCTCGCGAGCCGCAGGTTGCCGACCCCTGCCCTAGACCTACAGTATTTTCCTTGGTGGTGTAAAATATTGTACACGATACAATTAATCGGCTGATCTCATCGTTTGATAAAATCTATTGGTACAAATGCAGGTCACGTGTGGAGGGGGAACCCCCCAACCGGTAGACCCCCTTTGCGATCAAAAAATGTCTAATGAACCACCTCCCTACGGGCGACCCTTCACGAGATATAGCCCCCCAAAATCGCGCCGCGCGTGATCGCGCCTCGCCATTGCGAGATCGCTCGCGTCGCTCTGATAAGTCGCGTCCTCGCGTCGCGCGCCATCTATCGTAGGAAAAATCTACTATGCCAAAAACCTTCGCGGAAGTGTATTAAAAAACTTTCCGAAGTTTTATGGCAATCGTACTATGCCAGAAACCTTCGCGGGAGTATATTAAACAACTTCCCAAAGTTTCGTGGCAATTGGATAAACGGTGTGGTAATGCATAAAGGACACACAGACACACATACATTCATTTTTATATACAGTAAAACCTGTCTATGGAGACCACCCACGGTTCCTTCAAAAAGTGGTCTTTTAGACAGGTGGTCGTCCAATACAGGTTGTGCTGTAATATTGTATTTCCGTACGTATTTTGCGCACTTTTTAGCCATTTCTACTAAGCAAAACTCGAGGTGAGTAAAAATAAGCGAATTTTTCAACGATAGGGCTATATTGGTATTGTATTTTATTCTTATCGGATAACCCGATTTACAGGAGTCATGATATTATAAGACAGATTTAACACCAATACTTTAAAGATTAATACAATACTCGCAATTTCTCGATTATAATGCACACTTTCTTTTTTCCGACTTAATTAATTCGACTCGGTTCTTTTCGTTCGCTCCTCAGTTACGTGTATTACGTCATCAATATATAAGCGCATCCTATCTCTCCATCACTTTGCTTTTGTTAGTTTAATCTTATTTTAACTTTAAAAATAAAATATTAAAAAAATACAGTCTTAATTAATTAAGTACAATAAGAAAATTATTAATCTAAATATATAAAATTGCTTGTCCTGACTGACTCACTCATTCATTCACTGATTCATCATCGCCCAGAGCAAACCGCTTAACCTAAAGAGGTGAAATTTGGTACACAGTTAGGGTACGTCATGGAAACGCACACTAAGAAAGGATTTTTCGAAATTCCAACGCGGGGGGGTGAGGG